ATACTAATCACAGAATTGCTTTAAAGCACTGCAACAGTTATGGATCTCCCCAAATGCTTGGCAGGATGCCTTTGTGCATTCATTTACTAAAGGTGGCTTTTGGACCTTAAAGCATCCTTCAGAAATATTAATTTCTAGTTATTTTAAATAACTCTCTTAGAAGATTCTGCTTTCACCAGTATTCTTATCAAATAAAATAAAATATAAAGTTAAGTTTATCTAGGAGGCCAGGAACAGAACAGAATTAGAAGAACTAGAAGAGGGGAAAGGAAACAGGAAAGGACCCAGTTTCAGACAAGTGATTATGATTCAGGCCTTTGCCAACTCTCTCACTAACGTATTTGGTTGTGATTGGTATGTCTATTCTGGAAAACAATGCTTATGAGTAACTCATTTTGTAGCTTGAGAAGAGAAATTTAGGTGCAGCGTCAAGTTTCTGAAGGCTGAAGTTTACGTTTCCTAAGGTTGTTATGTGGGGAAGGATTTGACTGATTCTGCAAAAGTCCAAGGACAAAACTAGAATTGAAACTAGAAGGTTCAGAGAGAGAGCATTTAATACAGCTGAAGAACAAACCTTCTTTCAGCTAGAGCTCTTGGAAGACAGAATGGCTACAGCGAAGTCATTAATTCCCCGGGAAGGCACAAAGCTATCAGAGATATGGTATAGAGGTTGGACTGATGGTCTCTTAAAACATCCTATGATTCCACTGAAACAGGACCTTTGACAAACTATTGGTATTCAAGCTTCTAAACTTGTCCTATACAAATCATAGCCCTCAATACATGATAGCTGACAATTTTGATAGTTCTCTGAAACAGAGAAAATGGTGGATCATCATAGTGAACTAAGATGTGATTAAGAAATGTAATGGAAAAACACAAGTCCATTTCTACTAATCATCTCTCTTTATGCCCATGAATAAAGAGCTCATCTTAGTTCAAAGATGAATATTTGAGAGGATGAGTCAAGTGAAGTCATCAGAACCTGTACGGGTGGAAAACGACAAGCACTGCTAGCAGACAAGGATGAATGAAGAAGAAAAACTTCAATCTGCTAATAAGCAGATAAAGTAGTAGCACAAGTAACTACCTAAAGCAAAATCAGCAGTGTAGAAGTTTAGTTGAACAATCTCTCCTCAGAAACTCCTTGGAACCTTCTTTTTAACTCTCTCAGGAATAACTCAAAAGTCAAATTTATTTGTCAAAACATCTTCAAGGTGTTATTTTTTGCAATATCATAACTAAAGACTTGCAGTGCTAAACATATACCAGTCTCAGCAGCAGTGGGCAACACAGCAGAATCTTCAAAGATGAGTAAAGGGCCAAATGGAGTCTGGTCTCTGTGCTGCCTCAGTACCTAGCTGGTGATAACTCACCTGTGGGAGGGCTGAGTCTACTCCAGGTCTCCCTCCAGGAGATTACTCCATACCAAGGCATGCATGAAGTATCCTCTTTTTTCAAAGATTTTAAAGAAAAGTGTGCTGACTTAACATCTCTGTAGGTCGGAATCATTTGTGGGCTTCCTATACATACAGATTTCTGAGCTCTGTTACCAAAGATCATACTTCAAAAGGTCTGAGAAGGGGCCTGAACATATGTATTTTTTTAAAGGATCTAGAGGTGATTCTGATGCCCTTCCAGGATTGAGAAGCAGTAGTTAAGGAGGTAGGTGTGTGTGGGGGGGAGGTAATCTCGGGATTTCCCTGGTGGCACAGTGGTTAAGAATCTGCCTGCCAATGCAGGGGACATGGGTTCGAGCCCTGGTCCGGGATGATCCCACACACCTCGGAGCAACTAAGCCCATGCGCCACAACTACTGAGCCTGCATGCCACAACTACTGAGCCCTCGTGCTGCAACTACTGAAGCCTGCGTGCCCAGAGCCCGTGCTTCGCAACAAGAGAAGCCACCACAATGAGAAGCCCGCACACCGCAATGAAGAGTAGCTTCTCGTTCACTGAAACTAGAGAAAGCCTGTACGCAGCAACGAAGATCCAATGCAGCCAAAAATAAATAAAAGGTAATCTCATGACATCCCTGCCTAATTTTGTAAATTCATTCCTTTGTGACTAACTATGTGCTTTCAGAGTTATTTAAAGTTTTTTTTAAACCAGATGTCACAATAACAAAATCCATTTCAACATTTTTTTAAACAATGAAGACGCAATTCTTTTCAAGAGTATATCATAAGAAAGTTACTACGACTTTATATTACCTAATATATAGTCCACATTCAAATTTCTCCAACTGTACCCAGAATGTGTAGCTTTAAATATATATACATATATATATATATACATATATATATATATGTATATATATATATATATATATATATATATATATATGTATAAAACCAGGACTCTATCGAGGTGCATGCATTGCATTTGGTTGGCATGCCTCTTTAGTCTCCTTTACTTTAGAATGGTCCCACAACTGTTATTTCTTTTATGAAAATGAAATTATTTAAAAGCCCAGAACAGTTGTCTTATAGAATGTACACATTCTGGATTGGTCTGACTTATACTTCATAAACAGATTTAAGTTAAACATTTTAGGCAGAAATACTACATAAATGATGTTGTGTATGTTTCACTGCATCATTTAGGAGACACGTGTCAGTCTGTCCCATTGCAGGTAATGCTAAATTTGATCACCTGACTAAAGGTGTGACTGTTAGACCTCTCCACTATAAAGATGTATTTTTCTCTTTGCAGTTCATAAATAATCAAGACCATGTGATTATTCTGTTTACCTACAACCTTTTATTCAATGTTTTAATGTCTAGTGATGATCCTTGCCTGACTCAATTATCAGTGCAAATCATTATCATTCTTTCTACTAGTGCTGGAAAGAACAATTTTAGGCACTAGTGCTGGAAAGAACAATTTTCTCCCCTTTCTTTTCCCTCTTTGTATCGGGATAGGTTTTTTTGTAAGTATCATTATAGACTTACACATTCTTTTTTCATTCAATGTGTTGTAATTCATTACTATCATTATTCTTTTTGATGTCAAATTGTCCCAAATTTTGCTTTTGGGAACTTTTCAAATGGGCTCCTATGTGTTTTTGACACATCCTCATCCATTTTTGAGCCCTTCTTGCTTTCTGACATAAGATGTTCCTGGACCTCTCTGCCCCATATTCTACAATCAGGAATTTCTCTAAGGAGCACTGGGTCATTTTAGTAGGAAACAGTATTTGGAAACTAAAATTTGGGCACGGGGTTTATTCGTTCTTACTGGGGCATCACTGCTTCTAAGCCCTTTCCATAAACTGAGATGGAAAATACATTTTTAAAAATCTGTGATGTCACAGGTATTTATTAATGCCTCCAATTCAAATTCAACACCACAGTGTGCCTCTCAATTTCCCCCATTCCATATTAATATCTCCTAAAAACCTTGGTTCCCTAAAATCCAATATAATTACTTATTTGCTCTATCCTATAATACAACAAAATAACTGCAGAATTTCTAAACAAGTACCACTAACAACAACAAATCTAATAACTATAGTAAAAAGATCTTTTTGTAGGTTATGGATCTTAGAATATTTTCCTCTATGTTTGTATAGCCAAAATAATATGTTTAAAAACTACTTAATTTTGGGTGATTACGTTATGAATTTGTTAGGTTCATTCGTTTCTATTTGTATTCAATTTCAGGGTTTTTAAAATCATTTTTATTTAATTTGGTTATTTGAATATGTGAAACACTTGCATAGTTCAGAAGTCAAAACTATATAAAAACACACCCTCAGAGGAATCTCACATCCATCCTTATCCCCTCTACATTGCTCCTCACCCACTCCTTATGGAAAACTATTTCACTCGTATCTGGGTTAACTCTCCTGTGTTTCTCTTTTGCAAAAATAAGCTTTATTTTTCTCTTATTTTCCCTTCTTTATTACTAAAAAGGGACCATAATTACTATATATACATTTTGCATATGGAAATCATTCCATATCAGCTAGTAGAAATCTTCCTTATTCTTTTTAGTATTATAATTTATTCAATCAGTCGCCTATGAGCATTTAGATTTTTTCCAATATTCTGCTATTACAAATAATCCTACAATGAAAAACTTTGAGCACATGCTATTCCATATTTGTACAGGCAATTCACCAGAGTAAATCTCTAGAATTTGGACTGGTAGGTCAAAGGGTAAATGCAGATGTTAGATATTACAAAACTCTCATAAAGTTGTAGCATTTCACATTCCCATCAGCAACATATGCGTGCCTATTTCCTCACAGATTTGCCAGCTAAGGAGTATATTCTGTGTTTTTGAACTTTTGCCTATCTGAAAAGTGAAAATTTTCACTGTGTATTTTAATTTGCATTTCTATTATTAATGAAGTTGAACATCTTTTCATATACTGTCATGTCATATATGTCATATCTCTTCCGGTGAACTGTCCATGACTTTGCTTTTGACTTTTGCTTTTTTTACTGTTTCTTTTTTGTTTTTTGTTTTTTTTTTTTTTGGTACGTGGGCCTCTCACTGCTGCGGCCTCTCCCGCCGTGGAGCACAGGCTCCGACCGGGGCACGAACCCGTGTCCCCCGCATCGGCAGGCGGACTCCCAACCACTGCGCCACCAGGGAAGCCCTGACTTTTGCTTTTTAAAATCATAATTTAAGTCTTTTTTTAATGGAAAAATTACTTCAATAATGCTACAATGATGCCTTCAAACTCTGTTTTAAAAAGTAAAGAATAAAACACTAAAAAATGGAAGAATGTATAAATTCACTGAAAAGAATACTAACGTCACTTAAAACTATACTGTCTTATTCTATCCTGTGTTCCAAACAGTCCATTAAAAAGTGGTAGTTATTTCAAGTGAGAAGAATGTTAAGAAAAATGCGTTCAAGTTACAATTTTATGATGCTAAGTAGCATCAAAAGTTAATCCCACAAATAACCATGTCACTGAGGAAGGTCAAAGTTTGGGAAACAAATGATTGAGAGACATTTCATTGTAATGGTTTCATTACACCCACCTCATTAGTACAGGTAATTCTCCGAGGATGAGGGGCTTCTTGTTGCAGTTGATATACTGGGAAGTTAGAAAATAAAACATGTCAGTTTCCCTTATGTAGAGCATCTGAATATATTAGGAATCAAAACCTGCCTGCTTTTTTATGTTCATAAGAAAATTGTGGTACGGTCCTATTTGTTATTAAATTAAATTTTGCTATGAAGCAAAGAAAGTAAACCAAACTAAATTTAGTGAAAGCCCAGGAGCAAACACAAATAAGAATCATAATCCACAGAAGTGTTATAACAAATCAGTATTGGATATTTGGCTCTGTTCTCCATAATCTGGTCATTTATTTTCCCCAATTTTTGTGGCTATATTACACAAAGCATGTCTCTGCTATAAACAAATACTAGTTGTACATTTTAAAAGTACATTATTAAGTGTCAAACTTGAAACTAAAATTAGGATTTATAGGCTAGATGTAACACATACACTGCTTTTCTCCCCTATTTATATTGTGAACATCTATCTTCAAAGATAATCTCCCCTAGAAACAAAATTTCTGAGCCAAAGTTACCACCACTTATTCAACTAGGGTAAATGCAGCAAAAGAGAGAATTCAGACACTTAAATAGCTTGCCAGAGGATAATTTCTAGGGTATCTGAAAATGGATTGGTGAAAATTGTACCAATACCATGTCCTTCTAAGACTCACTTCAGGCTTCTTGACTTAAAGAAAAAATGAATAGAACGTGTAGTTATCAGAGAAAGTGTGTTTATGTAGGTCTAAGCTTATCTCTTGGAGAAAATCTGTTTTCTATTTCTACACATATAATCACATGTAATTGAATTTAATACTGTATTTAAATACATAGACATTTGGTCAATATAACATCAAACTACTCAGCATCTGGGGTTGTCAGACAATGTATGGCTCACATGTCAACTGTCATTATATAGACTCCACCTCTGATCATATTCATTCATATATAGTGTAGGGACATATATAAACATATACAATTAGACTATGCATATGTATATATGTGTGTATACATACACTAAATATACTGAGAACATACACAGACACACATCACTGTTCTGTATTGCTATGTAAAGGCAACAGAGTACTGCAGTTGCAAATCTGAACTCCTGAACCAGACCACCTGGGGTCTGAACGCTGGGGCTCTGCCTCTAACAATGCATACTGAGCCTTGGCTTTCATCATTTGAACATGGGGATAATAATAGTTTCTACTTCATAGATTACTGAAAGGATTAAACACTATATGTGAAAGACTTAAAGTAGTCCCTGGCACATGGTAAACACTCAATAAAGATTAGCTATTATTATATGTAGGTGACTGATACTAATACATAAAATTCTTTACAATAATATTTGAGTACCAGGATGCATCTACAGTTCGTCACCAAAACATAACAACATGGTAATGCTATAATTTAAAAGGTGCTAAGAAGATACAGCTTTACTGTTTAAGAATCAAAAAATAAACAAAACACTTCTCATTTAATAATGTTTGAAATCTACTGAGAGAAATGTATACCTTTGCCTTATCCTCCTGGTTGCAAAAATCCCTAAGAGACATAACATATTAAAATAGTTTTAGATACCCGTATTTTACTGTGAGAGTTAGTTTTTCAAAAATACTACTGTGAATATATTTTTATGGATTAAAGAATGATATGAAGGGAATAATTTTGAGATGGGGAAGGGAAGAAAGAAAGCACTGAAACTAAATTTGTCTGGCCCTGATAGTGAGACCACATGTGTACCACTCAGAGATATTTGTAAATCTCCATCCTCCCAAGAGAACCAAATCATGATATGCAAAAAGGTCCATGCTTCAGGTCCATTCCTCCCTGTTGGTAACTATAACTCTAAGATGTGAAAATTCAGTTCACATTTCTGTTTTGACCAGCAATTCTCAAAAGATCAATTGTTTCCCTTTGTCAAGCAAATGCTTTGGAAAGTAGGGTCACCTAAAGAAACTGAATTACGAAAACTGAACGGTGGTCAAGAAGGACATTAAAAGTTACTACAGAAAATAAAATGTTGATTTTTACTTGATGCAATAATATTCTCTAGGCAACAAGGAAGGGGAAATAAAGGACTAAGAACCTAGACTCTTCAGAAAAAATCTGTATTCTAATGCCAAGTTTAAAGAACAATATTGGTTTTTGCTTTATAACAAAGTGAATCAATCACCTTAGAAGTGTCAATGTTTATGCACTTATTAATGAAATTCTCAGTATCTAGAGACAATACATTGTTAATCAAGTTCAGAGATCACAAGTTTGTATCTTGAGGTCAAAACTGGCTCACATGTGTTGTTTGGTTTGCTGTTTTCCAAATTCAAATTTGTTTTTAACATTTAAAAATTAAGAGATTTAACAACAACAACAAAAGCAAAAGAGAATTCCAGCTTCTCTTGAAAACTTAGAAGATGTGACAACACTGGACTCAGAGTGTTAGATACCCACAGTAAAGGGGAGCGAATTATGAGCTACTCCCTACGTACAGGGCATCCTCTCTCTGCTTTCTCACAGTCCCCACCTGCCTCACTTGCCTCATTTATTACATGTTTGGCCCCTGGTTTAATTCAAGCAATACATATTGAAAAGCAACGAAATTGTATTTGTCTTAAAAGTGTTCTCAACTTAGAATCTTGCTAATTCTATTTAATTATTGGTTTGAACTTGTAAGGTTATAGAATTATGTTTTCACAAGCTCAACTAAACCAAAATCAGAAAGCACGAGAGGCATGGGTAAAGTAAGTTTCTTATAGAATCACAGTGAAAATAAGTTTCTCATAGAATCACACTGTGAAAAGCTGTTCAGACCCCAACAAGCTAAAGACAGAAAAAAAAATCCTTAACATGCTGCAACTTTTGACATGAAAATGTAACTGTCCCCTTTAGTTTTACAGATGTAGTACAGAATAGAAGCGAACAATCAGAACATTCTGAATAGCTTTCATTCTGCTTGTATCTCCTTATGTGGACTGACATACTTGATTTTTTAAAAATCTCAATCCATTTAGATTTTATCACCATTTTGAGGAGTATTTTAATTACAAAAATTTAAGTCACAATACAGAGAAGATGACGAATGCATTATGGTTTGTCAGTCCCAAAGACGATCAAACAGAATTTGTTAACTATCAACTCTGATCAAGGCATATATAGGAATTAAACAAAATGTCATGGCTCAATTATTGAGGGTACTGGGCAGGGCCTACTACTCCAGTAACTTAAAATTTCAGTCACTATTGATGAAATACGGGTGTCACAGGCTTGTCAGTTTAAAAATTTTCCCCTATTAAAATGTACAGACTCTGGGACAGATGAACTTCATTAATAAAGATGAATTTTATAAATAAATACCTTACTGGAGATTATTTACAGCTAGCTAGACATAAAACTATAAAACTGACTGAGTGGGAAAGGCAAAACAAACAAAAAGAAAAAAGAATTCAACCTACATCCCAATTTTTTCTAAGATCAGAATTTTGACAAACACGTGTAACAATCTAAATGATCATCACAACAATTACTTCAATGTGACAATGTAACTTTTACGTTTTCTCATTAGTTAAAATTTGCGCATATACAAATTCTTAGAAGACAACATCATGATTTCATAAGGAAATTTCACATGACCAGTTTTAAATATGGACCTTTCTGCTTGGCTTTAGCACAGTTTAATCATAAAATTTCCTTGAACTGGAAGTTTTTGCATTTGATGGTCAGAAAATAAAGTCTATTCTAATAATTTCCTCCCTGTTTCTACTGTTAAAATGATGGGGGGTGGCAGTGTTCTTCAGGCACTGAAGTCACTAAAAGAAACTATAAAACTCAGTATTATCACCAAAAAAACAAGAAATATGCCATTTTTAAGACAAATGGTAGCTACTATAAGACATAGGAAGATACAGAAAATACAAATTGCATACACCACATTTAGTAATCAATATTCTTCGGGGGAAAAATCACCACCATGATTCAATAACAGTCTGAGGTTTTATAAATGCTCTTACATTAAAATGTGCAAGGCACAAATCAGAGCAAGAGAATAAAGATAAACTGAAAACCAGAAAATGCAGAGAAGAATTTTAAACAGCCTTCCCGCCAATGAGGTTATGAGACAAAATCTTTTAGAGGTAAAGATCATCAGTCATTTTTATACATTCTTTGAACTATACTCCCCAGAATCAAAACAGAAGCAGCAGGGGTGGGGGAAAACGCATCTATGGCAATATTTTTAGAGACTGTTCATATTTTGCTTACTATAATTAGCCCCCAGTGGCAACCTATTACAATAAACTATCTGTTGCTCTGGGAACATAAAACCAAGTAAGAATCTGAATTGCTGCTCTTTCAGTCAGCAAATTTCAGCAACTTACAAATATCAAAATTCACAATAACTCAACATTTACTAAGATGCTAATAATCTGTATTTAAAGTACAGGGTTTTTAGGTTGCTTATTTGACTCTACAGACAACAAACAAAAGTTTACAGTACTGGTTTCTGCAAGTGCATTCATGGATTTTTAAAAAACAACTCTGATTATATTAACCCTATTTCCATTTTTCAAAATTCTGAAATAGCTTTTACTTGATGCAATAATATTCTCTAGGCAACAAGGAAGGGGAAATAAAGGACTAAGAACCTAGACTCTTCAGGAAAAATCTGTATTCTAATGCCAAGTTTAAAGAACAATATAGATTCAGTGTCTCTCTTTTATATTTCAGAAGGCAATTCCTAAAAAAGAAGACCACTTTTTACTCATTCTAGCAAGATAGCCTCCTGACTTATCATTATTTATTTATTCCTTTTTTAATATAAAAAACAGGATCTAAGAATATTAGATTCCTTGAATTCTTAGTTAGCTTCTCCTTGCATTAGTTTTATCAGCCACTGTGAACAAGTGGTCTCAAGTTCCATAATATGGAATTCCATGCGAGTTCAGAGGGATGAGATGCATTCCTGACATGCAAACCATGACAGACTTTGTGACAATGCTCCTATTTCCCCAGTTTCTTTTTCTGTGCTATTCACAAATTCTGCTGTGAATTAATTTTTCAATAATGGACACAAAATGGAATGACTTCATATCTAATGTTCCTGATATTTTTATATTACTTATAAAAGCACTATAACCCACCCAATTTATTTGTATACTCACAGTAAGATTTCCAAACAGGAGGTCTATATTCATCTGTATCTGAAAGAATAAACATCAAATTAACATTACTGAATAGTTACATTTTAAATGAGATATTTTAATCATTAATTCATTTAGTACATATTTGTTGAGGTCTATTTGTTCTAGGCATTGTGCTAGGCACTAAAGGGCATTCAAAGGATTTTTAATCTTGGTCCTCCCTTCCTTGGAGGACAATTTCACAAAGATGTTCAAAGAAAGTTACTGTATTTATTCAACTGCTTATCACATAAAAACGTCATGCTTAATTTTTACTGCTTTTACAGTCACTGAGGTAATGTCAATAATGTCTTTGGGCTTAATTCTATGATCATTCCACTGAAAGATCCCTGAAATCATTGGAACTTTTCTATATTTCCCTCCATCACATTTGGGGGAGTCCAGTGAAACTGGTTTTACTAACATCAAGAGAGAAGAACAGCAAGGTACAGACCTTAGTCCTCATACATCCTGGACAATCAAAACCAGGAAATGAGCAACACTTCAATGTAGGACAGTGTATCTAGGGAGCCACAAAGAACATGAGGTGAACATGTGCTCTCCAGGTCCATTTCCCCTCACTCTGCTTGAATGTGAATTAGGAGACAGCGTGAAGAGGCAGTGGAGAGAGATGGAAATACAAGTACACGAGGGAGACGGGGGAATTGGAGAAAGGAGAGGGGACAGCGTGGTCTGGCTTCTCACCTGTGAAGCACAGCTGAGGAATAATCTTGCCAGCACAAAGCCCTGCCTGCAAGGCCATGTAGCCAAACCAGCAGACACAGCATTTTGGTGTGGGGAGGTGTGGCCAGACACATCACCTGGCTCTGCTGGCACCCAACAGAAAACTACTGAGGAATCTGATCCTAAAAATCGTGGTCTCCAAGAAGGCAAGAAAACTGGCAAGTTTATTGAGAAGGGTGATTTCTTGTATAGGTAGCTCACATTAAAATGGTCACAGACTCGAAACATTCAGCCCCCAACTCCCAACCTTTAAAATGCAATCTCACACTTCATTTATGATGTGTTATTATAAACCACACAAATACTTTGAGTCAGAGGGCTACAGTAAGACTACTGATGATGGGCAAAAGAACATAAAAGGGAAATTCTAAGTCATGTAGAAATTGCTTGGCACCCAGGAGAAGTTTTCATATATGTTTTCTCAAAGAATGAATAAAAGATTACATGAATAAGTGATGCAGCAAATACAGCTGACTCTCATTATTCACAGTAGTTATATTCTACGTCACCATAAACCCTGAATTAACCAATACTGAACCACTGCACCTGGGGAAACACAAGTTTGGTTCCTGTGAGCCTCTGGTCACAACATTTTCATCAACCAATCAATACATAACTTTGTTTTCTGTGTATTTTTGTTTAAACACACTTTATTTAGTATATATTGTTGATTCATAAACATTGAACTCACAGCCAAGTGTACTATAACTCATGCCTCAATGAAACTTATCTGACACATGTATTTTCTCTGTAAGTTAACATCACTGTCTTCTTGCAGTTAGAAGCACCAGACAGGATTTTGACACTATGCTTAGGGGCCATTTTAAAAAGTAAAATCACCAATAAAAAGCCACAAAAATGCAAAAAATGTGGCACTAAATAGGCTATGAAAAGAACATTTGTTAACAGTATAAGAGCTAAAACAAAGAAGGCAGAGTGGCCTTGCTCAACCCCAGCCGGGAATATTCAGGTCATGCAACTCAATTTGCCACTCTATAAATGTTGGCGAATGACTATGACAGTGTCACAGGTATTTATTTTAAAAGGGTTACAAATAAATGCTAGCAAGTAAGCAAATCTGCAAACACAAACAGAATCAAGAATAATGAGGACTGTCTGTATATGAATGAGCAATTATTCAGGAAAACTATCAACTCAGGTAAACTCACATAGGAATGATAGAACATTAGGATGAAATATGACCTCAGCACAGTGACATATAGATATATACATATTCACTTTGCTAGGGGGTGGGGGTGGGGTGTGTGTATGTTTAGAGGGTTAATTATACTGACATTTATCTTAATAAGTAAATTGAATTAATTGAATTATATATTTTTAATACGAGGAAAAATTTGCCTCTAAGCATTCAAGTCATTTAATGATTTCATTGATGCCCTATGTATGCTGTTATATTGCCATTCAATCCTAGGACAGTTCCAGGTTTAACAGGAGAGTGGACGTTCACTCTCCTGGCACTCACCCATATTCATGTGTGTGTCTCAGCCTCCTTGCCAGTGTCCAAACAGCATAAGCTGCAGTGACCAGGCACCTCGCGACCCACCACGCGGAAGATGGCACATGCGGCCAGGAAGAGGAAGGGCACTCAACAAGGCTGAGACCCAGTGTAGTAAAGAATTTAACCTTGCGCCCCAGAAGAGGTCTGACTTTTGCCTTCAGCTCCTAGGAGGTAATTTTATTTGTCTGGGAGCCTTGGGCTAGCCAGAGTACCACTGTGACTTAGGGTGGGGTTTTGGGTCACACAGTGTCAGTCAAGCTGGAGAATGAGATCAACCATGTGGGCCCTCAATCATAAAGCCCTCATTAAAAACTCTGAACTTAGGATTGGGAGAGCTTCCTTGGCTGGAAATACTCCATGTGTATCATCACACATCAATGCTGGAAGAGTGCATCCTGACTCCACAGAGGATAAGAGAAGCTCTGCGTTTTGTTCTTCTCCCGGACCCTGTCTTATGTGCTTTTCCCTTTGGCTGATTTTAATCTGTATCCTTTCCCTGTAATAAATCATGACTCTCAGTATAACAGTGTTTAGTAAGTTCTGTGAGTCCTTCTAGAGAATCATCGAACCCAAGTGTGATTTGAGGGAACCCCTTCCAACTTGCACTTGGTGCCAGAAGTGAATGAAATGTATAGGACTGTGCCCTCTCACTTAGCAGTTGGCCCTAACTCCTTGCAAACTCTGCACCTATGAGCAGGAGGCCCTGGAGATTGCTTTCACTTTGGAGATGGTAAGAGAGTAAGAGGCTAATAACCAAAGTTCTTTCTCTGGGGGATTGTTCATCTAGTCCTAGATAGGACTTTCTTTGGGGAACATCAACCTTTATTTGCTGTGTGACTTTAGGAAATTTACTACCTCTCTTTTCTTTATCTATAAAATAGAGTAACAATATCATCTAAAATGGGAATAGTAACAACACAGGTTTGTTGTGAGGCTTATATTAGGTATCATACATTAAGCACCTTGCACTCAGGAGACCTTTAGTAAATGAGTACCCTCTCCTGCCTCCACCAAAAGCGAATTTAAAAACACAATGAGGGACTTCCCTGGTGGCGCAGTGGTTAAAAATCTGCCTGCCGATGCAGGGGACACGGGTTCGAGGCCTAGTCTGGGAAGATCCCACATGCCGTGGAAGAACTAAGCCTGTGCGCCACAACTACTGAGCCCGTGTGTCACAACTACTGAAGCCCACCCGCCTAGAGCCCGTGCTCCACAACAAGAGAAGCCACCACAATGAGAAGCCTGTGTACCGCAATGAAGAGTAGCCCCCGCTCGCCACAACTAGAGAAAGCCCATGCACAGCAATGAAGACCCAACACAGCCATAAATAAATAAATAAATAAATAAATAAATAAATAAATAACCGACTGACATTATTTGAGATGCTACAGATCACAATTCTGTGGCCAAATAAAATGAGTATCTGGCAAATAACCAAGAAATATTGAGATTTAAGTTTGTGTTTCCTTTAATATTAAAACAATTCTAATTATCAGTGACATTTAACAACACAGTTTGGGTTTTAAAAGTCTTTTCCTAGTAATCTATTTTTTTCTGGTGGAAGTGTAAACTGGTGCAACCTCTCTAGTGAACAATTGGCAATACATACCATAAGGCTGAAAAGTGTGCAACAGGCATCTGTTAAGGCAGAGAATAAATGAGATGCTCCTTGAAAGGGAACATTTAAAAATTATGACAGTCTCTCTTACGTTTAGGGGTGGAGACCCCAGGTCACCTTGGTATGGGCCATTCTGTTAACAAGTTAGGCAAAGGGTAGGCACAACTGTCCTCAAGACTCAGCGAAAAGGGGCTCACTGGGAGGGGAAGTTGCATGGCTTAGAAAAACATACCTTATACTCTTGATGTGCAAAATTAATTGCTAGAGTTGCTGAGACCAATTTTCCGGTACCCAAATCCTTCTGGAAGGGAAGAAACATTACCCCAATCTTTGACTCCTTGGATTCAAACTTAAGGAGTTCGTTCTGTCATAGAAAAAACTTATAGCCCAAACCAAGTTCCACTGGCAAGAACAGGCAGAAACACTCCTGAAAGAAAATGACTTTGAAGATGGATTAATTGAAACTGGTGATCCAGGGTCACAACAGAGGGCTTATGGGTTTATTAGGAAGGACAGATTCTGGCCCAGCATGAGACAGAGGCCAGAAGTGTCTCTGACCTCAGCCTCCCTGGCACATGGAATCGTTGAGTATAAGCGTGTGAACTGCAATCTTAACCTCCAACTGGGGTCACTACTTTGACCTGGGCCAGGTCTGACCTAAACGGGTATCCTAGTAGCACTCAGACAAGCAACTATCGACAAAGGGCTGGTCTTCAACACTGACAGAAAGTGATAAAGAGAAGGATGAACAGTGTACAATTATACTTACTGCACTTTTCTTCTGGGTAGTTGTAAGAGAATGGGACCACTCTGGGACTGAGTAAGCCTCCTGAAGTTCAAACTTGGAGGAGGAGACTGCCTAAAGAGGAAGGTACTAAATTTCCTGCTGACTGGGGCAGTGATTAAGAGGAGAAAGTATGGGAGCATATCTGGCTCCTGCATTTATGTAACAGGTCTTCAGTTCCTTCTGCATACTTTTGACCCAGCAGCTCTATTTCTAGGAATTTATTGTAAAATAATTAAGGATATTAGAAAACTATTAATATAGAAGAATACCACTGAAATATTTCTTTTTAAACTAAAAAACTGGATTCAACCTAAATGCCTAACAATTAGAAACTGATAGAATCAATGATGATA